CTCTTGTGATAGAATGAAAAAAAAAAAAATGAAGCACTGGGCTGAGGGCCAGCCTAAGACTGAGGTGGAGGAGCAGGAATGGCACCCTAGAAACCTTTCTGGAAGCCCTGAGGTGGGATGAGATCTCTGAATTAGAGATAAGCCAATGTCAAGTTGGAAAAAAAGCAGTGGGTTCTTTATCCAGTATACCAACCCAGAATCCTGGCTACCACTTATGAAGGAGGTTGATCCSTAAAGAAGTCCAATTCCCAAAATGCAGCCATCCAAGATGGTAGAGAGCAGCAGAGCTCAGCAAGATGGTGGACRGGAACAGGTACAATGCATTCGCCCCACAGGGAGTGACCAAGGATGGTTGCTGGTGTTCCTTCTCTTGGGTCAGGTGCTGAATAATAGTGGCAGGTAGCAAGATTCCAAGCAATTTCTCTATTCCTCTAAATTTTTTACGTTGAAACTTCAGAGTAGAAAACTACCTTCCTGTGGGAGGAACATGTTAAGAATAGAATTCAGGGAATGGGAGGTAAAGAATGTTTAGTACTAGGTCCTATGGCAATAAGAGACCTTCTCATCTTGGGAGTAAAGCAGAAGTTTGAGATCCGTGTGAATAGATGCCATCCACTTCAACTGAGTTGTTCCACAAAGAATAAAATGCAGTTCTAATGAATAAAAGGACTGGGGTAAAATTTGGACTATTTCTTGTATCCAGCAAGGTTCAGTCAATCGAGGTAATTGAAAGAGATCAAATTAAATTTTCATTCCCATCCCCCCTCCRTTGGTAAACCTAAGGTGCTCATGTTAGTAAAGTGTGGTAGTCAGAGACATGCCCTATCTATTCTCACAGCTTCCCTTTTGTGCAGATATTTGGCCTTTAGTAGTTAGAGGGAAGAATAATCGCATGCATGATTATGTCGTTAGATTAATTCTCTCAAGAAATCCGAATGAAGGGAGCCATGGTTAAACAATCCTTTTTGTCCTCTCCTCTTGATTCCTAAAGCTGAGCTAATAGCCTCTGAAATTCTCATAAGGACAAATTCACACCTTCCTTYCCAAACTTTAGGAAGCACATTAGCAAACACAAAAACTGTTCATTACTCTATTTTATTTATAATTTCTGAATAGTGTCCCTCRTTCTGCAAAATTCTTAGCAGAAGTTCTGTTTTCTAACTTTGCCTTGTACCACTAAATAAGGTCTCAATGTCTTCCTGGCCTTCGCAATTACTGTCCTAAAGTTAAGAAATCACTACAGAACTGAGTCAAAACCTAGAGGCAGGACTCTATCAAAGGCAACCAGCCTTTGCTGACCCCTGAGAAACTGCTGCATGCGAGCCACAGAGAGAAACAATGGAAAATTCTCATCCTCTGACCAGTTCTAAAAGGCTGGAGCATACCTCAGTCTCCAGTTTCTGCTGTCTTCATGAACTGGAGAGCCACAGGAGTCACTCTACCTCTATCCCACCTGATAAAGGACAATTCATCCTTGGCATAGTCTCTCATGGGGGACATTTCTCTGCCCGGTCTCATTGATAGAGGACTACAAAGAGAACATAGGGCTAACCAACTGAGGGAAAGTTAATCCCCATATATTACTAATCCAACCTGTGGTCTGGGTACCAACTGCCCTGACATTGTTATGTCTTCAAAACTAAATTTGGTATTTTATCCTGGTATGGAAGGTAGGTCCTCACTATGCCTTGTGATACAGTCTAAGCCTTCGAGAAATGTCCCACCCTTGCTCCTGCATCTAGTGACAGAAAGTAAGCTTGGTTTCCATAAAGCTAAAATCCTCAGTATAGGAAGTCACCTTGGTCCCCTAACAGCCATATACATGTGTAAATAGGTGTGTGTGCAGATGCACTTATTAACACACAGATGTATGTGAGTATGAACGCAAGTACCTACTGAGTAACTACCTTGTGTGCTGCAAAGTGCCTGTCTCAAAGGAAGGCAATATCAGCCAAGTCAGCGTTAGTGATAACAAACTCCAAATGAATCATGGCTGATTTGTTCCTCATATAAAGTCCAAAAGAGGTATTTCTGGTCCTAGTGTAATTGTCATCCAGTTGGTAATTCACGAGTCCAAATTCTCTTCCCCAGGTTTGTTCCCTGTTGGACATGTAGCCTGTACAGTTACTRTACTGAGTTCACTGCATTGAGCCAATGGAAGGGAATAGAGTACAGAGAAACATATGTGGGATGTTCCTGGACCAAGGGGAAAGGGCAGACATCACTTTTGCCCACACTCCATGGGCTAGAACTAACCATGGCCATCCTTTACCAAAAAAGAGGCTAGGAGAAAAGACCAGCTGTGTGTCAGTCTTTGCTTCAGGGACAAAGTGAAAACATAGGACTTGGCCTGTATTCTCATGGAGCTGATAACCCATGGGAAAGCAGAACCTATAACAGGAGCAGTTCAGTATTGGTACACTAGATAAAGGACCTGAGGGAGGGAGCAATGTAATCCATCAGGGGAAGGAACCCACCCTGCATTAGTGAGGATAGGTAACCTTCCAGGTAGGGTTTTAATGTAGTTTTGAATCCTGGGCAGGTTTTCTTTTAGGTAGACAAGAGCTGGGATAGTGTCCGATGGAAATATGGATAAAAGCATCAACTCAGAAGGGAGAGGGGCACATTCCTGATTCARTGGAACCAGTCAGATAGGAAAGGAGAAAAAGACTGTTGCCCTCAAAGGAAGCATTTGAAGAAAGTATTTCTCACTGGTTTGGGGATATGGGAGGCTAGGAGTCYATTTCTGAGGCCAAACTCAGTTACTAAGACCAAGTAACAGATGATTCAATGTCAGTTTTACACCTTTATTGCGTGGTCTTGCTGTCTTTCACATCTAAAGCAAAACATAACCATATCCAGGACTTTTCTGGATTTTCAGGYTAAACATTTGAAGTTTACAGCTGTTCAGGTAAGAGATTTTATCCAGAGGGACTCCAACAGGGAATATGAAGTGTGGCTGAATGTGAGATGGAGAATTTGCCCTCTCAGCAGGAGGACTCCTCTGAGAGGGTCATGCCTTCTCTCTCCCCTTCTGACAGTGACTTGAATTGTCCACATAAACATTCTACTATTTTTTTTTCAAGTTCAGAATTAARCTCAGATTATAACATGGTTTCACGAAAGTGGTTTTATCACCCACATATACATCAACATTTTTCTTTGAGATTTTACTTTCCTGAGTTGKTTTGTGTTTACCTTACATGCATGGATGCTATAGTAACAAATGATTATACCTAACCTCTAAGAAACTCCCTTCCACGCACTCTCAATTATGWCAATAACTTGCAGTAAGGCTACATGGGTTCCTATATATCACCTCTTCTTGCTATGACTTTGTGCCCATTCTTTGATGGTGAATTAAGCAGCCATTTCCATCCTTCTGTAATAGGTGAGGGATCTCACACAGAGAGGTTCAATTACATTCCTGAGAACCCATGAAACCTGTACTTTAACAGGGCTGGAACTCAAGGGCCCTGATCTCTTGCTCCAGGACCTCCTCCATCTCCGCGAAGACCTTACTGATTTCAAGGCAGGGACTGAGCAGTTGGATAAAAACCAGTGACACATAACATCATTGAGGAAAGGAGGTTTTTACCCGCACATATTCATGCAGTCAGTGAAAGGGTGACATCATATATTTTAGAAAAAGGAGTGAAGTACAGTCATGAACTGAATAAGAAGTCAGATATCTATACAGGACTCTTCCTCCAAATCACATGATATACCACTCAAAATCATCATTTCTTTTGTTGAATGTCATTTCCCATAACTACTTCTACTGTTTGCATATTGATAAATGTATTCTTGGGTCTTAAAACATTATAATTATTCTGGCACTCTCTCAATGTTTAAAACCTATATACAGATAGGGATAATCTAACGACATCATTTTTCCTTTATAGACTGTGATGAGCATTTATTGGGTACTTACTGAGTATAATATACTGTGTCAGGTCCTGGGAATTAAATGGTGAGAGRAATTCTATCTTTGTCCCCAGGAAACTCAGAATCTAGAGAGAACCTAAGGATTATAAAAACTGTTCAGAAATAAAGTCAGTCTTCTATTTACCTATTGAGGTTTTATCTTCATTAGAAAAATTGAATTTTCAAAGCAACAGGCAGCCAGATTTGGATTTATTCCTCTTTTTTTTTTTTACTTACTTGATTAGACATTTTTAGTGTCTGAAGTCACAAAAGTTGTAACCAAGACAAACCAGGGTACAAGTACCACTTTTAAAATGTCACGGGTCTAGTAGAAACATTAGAGGATAAATCATGGGTTTTATTGTATTTGCAATTAAACTGATCAAATTTAATGTCCACAGAAAAGTCTTAGTAATTAGTATAAAGATTAATATAGTGAAATGTCCCTGTTTTAGCAGGCCTTCCAAGCAAAACTGAAATAAAGAATTCAGTATATAATCGAATAGCACGTAAATATTAATGCACAAAATCCTCTGAGTCCCCAGATCCCTGATGCAATTATTTTCTATTCACATTAATTGTTTCTAACAGATGACGCTAATGACTTTGAGTTAAAATGTGTCCAAGGGAAGATTTCACAAGATCAGTGCTATTCAGAAATAAGGTCATTTTCATAATTATTTGCTTAGATTTTAACCACCACTCAACATCTTTAGGTTAACTTGATGACTGAGTTTTTTAATATGAATATCAGAAGTTATTTTCACACTAGTCAGTAATTATATTGGGGATAGTCACGTATTTCCTGCTAGTCTTTCAACTACAACTTATTCAACTATTTCCCAAGGCAGATGGAAAAACTGTAAAATGTATGATTATTGTTTACAAAATGCAATTTGCATATGTGCATATATATTGAACACCTAATAAACTGGAATAAACGTGTTTGAATTAGGGCATGTATTCTCTAATCCAGAAATGTCACTTCTTTCGAGACTTAGTTGTCCAAGGCAGGATTTTAAAACAAACAGTTAAATGATGGCTATTCCATGTTTCTGCTTGGCTTCTCCTAGAAACTTCACTCACGCATCTTGGATCTTTCATCTGGAGATTTGCTCTCAGAGGTGGGAAGGAGCCGAAGTCTAACACAGTCACGAACCGATGTCGAGCTGCATGTGAGTTCCCCACTTGCCTTCAGAGGACTTGTTCAGGTTGTTATTTTCCTTCCATCAAATATGATGTCACAGCTGAACCATAAAGTGCATCCTTGAAGCATTGTCAGGCAGATAAAAAGACCTTCCTTTCTTGTGTTCTCTGAAATTCAATATCATGTCCCCCAGCTGATATAGTAAGCAGAAAGCGTCACTCCAGGCAAAAATGTCATAAATCTTGGCTTTGTCCCCAAGATACCTTTTTGGGTATTGATTACATCTCAAAGTCTCTGAGAAATGGTCAAGGAGCTTTTTATTAAAGCCCATGTCCCATATTATTCATCCTACTTTTATGATATATTATGTATGAACTTTTAAAAATTCATGGGCTGTGCTTTTTTTTTTTTTTTTCCTTTAGCTGGGGTTCGCTTTGTGCTTATTTGGCAAAACTTTAACCAGCATGGTTTTTAAATCCCATTGACATAAAAAGAGTCACTTGAAAAAAAACATATAACAGCTGTATAAATACATAATGAAAAATGTTAGGCTTAAATAAATTACTTGAACATTGTGGATCACTGGATTTTACTTTATGATTTTGTTAGTTGTATACAGGATAATCTATATCAAAGGTAAATATTCTCAAGTTAAACTGAAATTAGATTTCAGTGGAATGCAGTCACTTTAAACTTCTATAAAGACCTAATGGCATCCCATCTATAATATGTCCTTAAGATCAGGGATTTTTTTTAAAGTATGCAATTCTTATTCAAGAAACTCTTGGCTTCAGTTTGTCTATTTTTTAAGTAAAATTGTAGATTTCATATGGCATTTCTCACAGCAAGGATATAAAAATATACGAGTCATTCAAGGCAGTCATCTAAATGCACATTGAAAAAAATACAGTTTGAATAGGGAAAACAGGGTGAATTTTGCCAATGAAATAAACATAATTAAGATAATGTTGCAGTGGAAACCAATATGCATTTTCTGACAAAGAAGAATTTTAGTGATACTTATTATCTATTGACAGCCATGCTCAGTGGGATTCTAATGTTCTGTGTATCCCAGAGAGTTCTGCTGTCAGGGGCCATTCTCAGTATTACAGCAAAAGGGCTGGGACTTGGGTCTGGCATCACAATGCTGTGTTGGCCGAGTAATCCTTTACAAAATATTAAAATCTGAGTACACCAGATTTCCCATTTAGAACATGTGGGTAATGATATTTCTTTTTATTTCAGAGAATTACAGCAAAGATTACATGAGATAATCCATGAAATGTGTGTAACATAGTACCTGCTAATAACATTGGGACCATCAGAAGATCTCTGTTGCTTTTACCCTTTTCTGTTCTCCTTTAACATGCGGCACTATGTCACAGCCACAGGAAAACATGGCAGAGGTAGAAACAATGAGCAAGAAGGTCATCTACTAGTACATCTTTCCAAAAACTCCTATGGTGATCCCTGAGACCAAGTGCACCCACTTTGGTTATTGCCCAGTGCAGTTATATTATCACTTGTGTGCCAGGTATCAGATAAGGATGGGATGCCAGGAAGTTTCAAACAGGGTCCTGTAGGTAGATTGTGAACTTACCATTTAGTTGAAGAGGCAAGACACACATGTGTGTCTTTTTATAAAAGCAGCAGCACCTACAAGTTCCTATGCCAGAAGCAGTTCCATCTTCATTATTATCTTATGCAGTCAATGCTTTTGACACCTCTCTGCCCAATCCCTCTCACCCACCTGCCACACATAACATGGACAGCCCTTCCTCTATCACATCTGGGCACTCAAGTTCAAGGCCAAGAGACCCCAGAGTTCATTCTCAGTCCAGCCCATCTTCCAAGATCTAGTTTCCTGTCATATTAATGCAGCCTCTTTGCAGGAGGTACTCATATGGGTTATAACTGGGCAAGGGGGCCTATGCATTAAGAATCCTGAGAATTGAGTTAAGTTGTAAAAACAGGTATAATTTGATAGGTGTAGTGGTAAGGRATAGGTAGGAAATGATATACAAGCCCCAGTACTTTGGGAAAAGGCAGGATGTAAACTATCACTAAAAGCCAAGCAGAGTGTAAAAAGGCCAATGGAGCTTAGTTCCAGGTCACCTGGCGAAAGGCAGTCACAAGCCCTCTCTGCAAAGGAGACATAGTTACCAGCAGAGGCAGCCCTAGATAACTACCTCTTCCTGGATTACTCAGACAACACAATGTGAGAGAACAGGCTGGAGGAATTGGACGGCACACAAGTAGAGGTGGGGTTTGGTGGGGTGTTTCTAAATATTTGCTCMGGGAGCATTCTAGATGTCTGTGATGGCTGAGGCTTAGCTTCCAGGTGCTCCAGCAAGACATAGCCATTGGTSGTAGGCAGCTGAGATCCAAATATGAACTCCCCTTTACCAAGTTACATCTGGCAACAAACAAGGGTATAAACCAATAGATATTGTTGAAATCTGGGTTTTTAAGACAAATTTCTCCTTTCATTGATGTTTAGAGTCACATTTCAGGGGAAGGGGARTAGGGTAATAAAAGTTCTTGGCATTTTTAGATCACTTAAAGAAATTGTTATGCAGCAAAAAATAAAGTATTGATAGCAAAGCAGATAAAATCTAACATTATTAAGTATTATGGATATTGATTYGAGAGCAAATTAAACATGCTCCATGCACTTATGCAGGGGCTCAGCATTACCACAAGCACCCTCACATTCTCATTACCTTCTTCCCTGCGTGGTGTTTCGTCACCGTCAGTGGGAATTGCATTTGGAAAGCAGTGATAAGTACTGGGGTACCAGAGGCACCCAGAAAGTGTCAGTGAATCACATAAGTAAGAGGCAAGAGATGCCAAGACAGATAGCACCCCATCAAAGAGTTCCTGAAACGAAGCTTTCTATAGATAGGAGACTGGAATYAGATGGTAGTAGAGAGATTTTATTCTCAGTGGCCTGGGTACAAATTTAATTTAGCCTGTCTGGTTTGTAGAACTTCATTTGTTATGTAAGGGGCAGTAATGTGGCTGTCAAGATGTGCTTGGATGTTCACAGTTTATTGGTCACCCTTGCTTTATGCAGACSACTAGCATTCAAACAGCCTGGGCCTTCTGCATAGGACCCAGATCGGTTTGATGTGTGCATTATTGCCATTTGGACAGCCAACTAGATACAAAAAGTCTTATATTTTACATTGTAGACTTGGAATACGTAAGTTTGTTGTCCCCTGTTCATGGCTTATTAAAAGATGGCACTGATAAACTGGGGGCATTTGACAGCTTATTTAAAAGAATATTGTCAGAGCCAGACGGGACCTTGGGAGTAATCTAGTAAAGCTACAAATGAGGACATTAAGGTCCATGGAAGTTAATTTTTTGTGTTTCTCAAGATCACATATTTAATGACATTGTGTAGCCTGATCCAGACACTAGACTAGCAGTGTAGTGCTCAGGCTCTTGAATCCTATAGCCAAGGACACTACTCTGTCCCCTCCATTTGTAGCACTCAAGTCATGTTATTGTTGTCACTGGGGGATTTTGTTTTGTGGTGCTGGGAAAGGAGCCTGTCGTGGCACACGTGCTGGGCAAGCACTCGACCTCTCAGCTGTACAAGCAGCCATTGAGTCATATTTTTTTTTACATGCTTGTTTTTTATTTGTTCTTTTTCAGTCTTACGTGACAGACAGTAGAATTCATTTAAACATTGAAATGGGGTTGAATAAACTAGATATTTTTACCAGAGCATTTGTTACCAAAAATGTAAATTTTATCATATAAACTAGTATAACTTGTTCATCAAATTTTTTTTATTAGTTGCTCAAAACATTACAATGACCTTCAGTCATATTTTGATGTTGATCTTATTTTCTAACCTGTAAGAAAGGATAAAAGAAACCACCATCATAGTACTTTTGATTACAATGAACTTGCAATAATGGAGCAGCAATTATGGGCCAGATGCTGTGCTATGTGCTTCATATCTAGTAACTCATCGACTCCTTTCAATAATCCTTTAGGGTAGGCACCACTGTCATTATTCCCTTTGAAAAGGAGAACATGGCTGGAAAAGCTAATTAACTTCCCTGTTGCCACACAGTAAACACAGTCTGCTTGGCTCCTAAGTCTGTGCTTCTGACCACTCACTAGGAGGTTCAGTTGGTACTCACTCTTCCCTAAGCAGGCACTTGCTCAGAACTTTCTTGCCTTTTCAGGAATACCAACTGAATGCAAGATCAGGAACTTCTGCCCTGAAGTGCACTGGCTTGGGGGCTGTCATCCCTGGTCACCTCTGTCCTCGAAACAGCTGCAGTAGCAGTGAACTGTCCCTTTCCAGCACCTGCAGTGAATACTCCAGTGGCTCCTCTTACACATGGCATGATAGCAAGAACCTCAGGAAAAGGGTAAGGCTCCTTTCCAGGCATTTTTAGCATCTGAGTGGACCAGATCCTCTGCTGGTAGGATGTGGTCACGGAGGCGGAGAGTAGGAGGGAGGGTTARGAGGGAAATGACCATTTGCTGAGTACCTGCTCATGGTTTATGCTGACCTCCACTAATCAGTGCTGTGGCTCATCAAATATGATTTCACTATCAACTGGAAGGCAGCATACTGGGGAATGTACTGTGGTGAACCACAGGGRCCCTGCCTTCAGTGAAAGTAGGTCCATTCCTATTTATGTGGCAAGGTGCTTAGACAATGCTTCCCATTAGAAGGATAGCCATCCACCTGCACAGTGGGCTCACACATCTAAAGATCCCTTCATGCTTTGACCAAACTTCTTTGCACACTGGTGCAAGCCAAGAATTTTGAAAGAGCTGTTTTAGCAGTTCCCTAGAGTGGAAGGAAAGCAGAATACRTGAGAATGGGAACCTTGAATCAGAATATTTGAAAGTCATTTTTCTACCATTTGGGTAAATTTAGTTTATGCTTTCAGCAGTATAGAAACCAGGAAAATTCCATAACTCCCAGAAAATACTGGTGAGGGAGCAGCTTTGTCATCCTCTGAACAAGAACTCCAAAAAAGATTTCAAGCTTGCATTTAAAGCCTATTCCCTTGGACTCAGACATCTAATGCAAAGTGGAGAGCCTACTGCATTATCAAAATCGCTCCCTCGGAGGAACAGTTCAGAATTCTGAATAATGACTGCCAGGGGCCTGACTCCTCAGAGACCAGGAACATGGCCAGAGAGGTTTCCTCGCTTTGTCTCTGAGCGTTGTGCTGACTCCCGTGGCCCCATACTCTGCTCATTTCATTCTGGCACCACTTAGCTGTCCTTCCCAGAGCCTTTTACTTTCTTTTTAAAAAATTTTGACTGAATTMTTTGAATTAGAGCAGCCCTGGATGTTCTAAGGCAATCTCTCCCCTGGGAAGAAAGGAAGGAAAGTTCTGAAGACATTGCGCAGACACTGGGTGGCGTGCACTCATGGTCATGGAATCTCTGTGCACTTGAGGAACTTTGGGAGTTTTTACCTGGTGCCAGGTGCTCATTTATTTCAACTTGCATAATAAAATTAAATGCTATGAATTTATATGTATAATATTAACTTATATAAAATATATGACTAAGAGGTCTTTTTGAACTCAAGAGCGTTTTTTTTATACTGTTTTATGTACAAACAGAAAGGAAGCCTGAATGAAATGCACCAGCATGTTCTACATGGAGTAATTTGGCTCTAATTAAAGAATTATTATCATTTATCTCGAATTTTTTAGGCACTTCCCAAGTATCATTTAATGCTTGCAATAGTCTGTTAAGTACATTTTCCTATTCTCCCCATTTTACAGATAAGGAAACTGAGTAACAGATGAGAAGTTAAGTAACTGGCCCAAGATCTCACGGCCAGTACATGCCAGAACTGGGCAATTGGTTCCAGAACCTTCACTCTTAATGGTTCTGCTCTCCTGGTCTTGTTGAGTCAGCCTAATACATGTGGTGTTGTGCCTAGTGTTGGGATGGATTTATTCCCAGTAAGACCAACAATGTCCTTTATAAAATAATAAATGAAATTATAATCCTGATGTCTAGGTAAGGAGTGGAAAATGAGTGTAGGTATTGTGACCCCCTACCTCAGCAGCAGCATGCTGCAGCCATCCACAACTACTCCAGAGGGCAACTCTCCTGCAACCTTGTCCAGCAGAGAAGGCATCCACCTGTGGGAAATACCAGCTCCTACCAGTCCCCTCGGCCACAGGGAACGCATGCTTTTATTTTTGCTCCCAAGTTTCTAGATGGGTTAGAAGTTTTTCAAGTTGTTAAATGCCACGACCTCCTGTGGAAAATGATGGGGGAAGGTGACCAAGGTTTACAGCCACCAACCTTGGGGCAAGGTGAAGTGCAGCACGGGCAGACTCTACAGGGGCAGAGTGGAGGAGGGTCAGCAGAGGCCACGCGTACCTTCTGTGGGGTATTCTCATCTGCTTCATCCAAGCTCTTGCAGGGCATTTTTACCTGGTTTCTCTGCTTTCCTGTCCATGTGACTATCGGGATCATAGAAATTCTTAGAAATCTAAGCTGAGGCGGACTGTACCTGGGTGGTCTGTAATACTCAGACTCACTGAGGGGATTGCTTCTGATTTCCAAAGGAGCTTTAAATGGCAAAGAGGAAGAGCAGGGAAAAGGGATGCCATCACCAAATAACATTTATTCCCAGCAACTTCTGACACCAAAGAATTACTGAAAGAAAATATGTAATTTGACTTAAAAACAAATAAATGTGTGTTATGGATAGCAAGAATAATTGTCATGGAAATTTCTTGGATAAAAGCAAATGTTCASAGATTACTTAAAAGCCCAGGTCCCAGTGTAAGTTTCTGACACTTTTTCAATCTCTGCACATGAGCACATACTTAAACACTCAGAATTGCATGGCAGAGAACAGCTGGTGTGGCCAAGACTGGTACTGAGTGCTCTTCTGGAACTACCACATTTAGCTGTTGAAATTACTTGCCATTAATTATGTAACCTTTTGTAAGAAGTCATGAGATCAGCCTTCACATCCTACCCATTTCCCTGGGTGCTGGTTTGTAATTTAAACTGCAAGTTCTATTCAAGAAATTAGTGCACATGTAACTTGTGATTTCTGTTAGGACACTGTCTAATGCAGAAGGGAGACTAGAAGCTAAGTTTCACTTTGTAGAATAGCATCAAGATTAGGAACACAGGCTCGAGAGCTGGAGACATCCCCTCCGGCCACTTTTGAACTGAGGTAAAATGGACAGTGCTGTAGAAAGTGTCAGGGAAAACAGAATCCAAACCCTTGCTCCAGCTCTGCGTATCTCTGTAAGTTGCAATGGACCAGTTTTGAATCTGTTTTCTCCATAGTAAAATGAGAAGGATAATGTCTCCCTATGGTAGTGTTCCGATGATGCAAAGTACTGTGAATGTGGTCAGTATACAGCAGGTGCTCAGTAAATGTTAGTCCCTTCCTTTTGCCCTTCCATTTTTTTTTATAGCCAATGGTGTGAAAAATGTGAATGTGTGGAATGCAATCTTTTTCCTGTGACATTTCCAAAACAGGTTCCCCAAACTAAGGTTGACATTTGAGGAAGTATGAAGGGCAAGAAATTGACATTCGTAAGTTAGTAGAAGAATAATTACTATGGGGCTCTAATAGAAAATGCCCAGGTCTTATAAGTAAGCATATATGTAAGGGCATGAATGTATACATAATAACTTCAGAAACATTTTATTGATGTTCATGAAGTCAAAGAACTATCAAATGTTAGAATGGAGAGAACATGTAGATAGGGAGCTGCTTACTTTTCTGGTTTACCCTCTCCACATGCCATTGACACTCCACAGGAAGGCCCTATTATCTTCTGGGTATTCCCTAAGTGCTCCTTGAACATACCTCCCTGACTCAGGTATTTCCCCACTCCATTTCTTCAACCTGGAAAGCCTTTTCCCCACCTGTAACCKGAGGCAAGTCTATTTGTCTTTCAAGAGCTAGGTATGTTTTTAAAAAAATATCTTTCCTATATTCCTTTCAAGATTTTTCCAAACAAGCCTTTGGGCTCCCTCTTCTGAATCTATAATACCCACCCCATTTACAGGTCTCATTTTCTCCTATGACATACACTTAATTGTAGCTAACTCCCCTCTCCTCTGCTGAGTTTTCTGCTCCCCCAAGGTAGAGATCTGACCTTCTATTCCTTTATTTCAGGGTGCTACTGTAGCACAGGATCTGGCAAAATCAATGTTTACTACATAGTTAACATTGCATAAACTACATTTATATGTGAATCCTTATTAACCAATAGCACAAATTAAGCCTAACGATGGGTTTTTCCTTTTATATATTTGTGATCTACATGGTTCAATTGTTTCTGATATCTGCTTTTCTTTTCCTAGCAATCAACACAAAACTGGGATAAAAGGCTAAGTATCGATTCTTCACTCCCAAGTGGCTTTGCTAGTTCTGCAGATGAACTACCTCCCACTCGGATCAAGGAAAGTCATATTTTGGAAGGGCTAAGGAAGCTACAGAAACGCAAAGTGTTACTTGAACCCCCGTCAGTGATAACCAAATGGGGTTATAAAGATTGCATGAACTCAAATGAAGGAATATATTCTCCAGGAATTAAAAGTGGCAGCCTTAAGGAATATCCTTCCAGCAAACTACCTGGTGTGGGGAGCCCTGGCAGGGAGCTCCACAAGACATTTGTTTATGATACAGATCCTCAGGAGGATGCCGATGAAGACTCATCCTCTTTAGCATTGCTGCAAACAGTTCCAAATGAAGGCTGCAGGCTGCACAGCAGTAAGTTAACCCACAGTGTTTCTGATAGTCTATTTGGCTGGGAGCCTGATGGAAAACACTTTTCAGAAGACATGTCCTCAGTTTACCCCAGGGAAAAGCCTGAAAAGCTATCTCATTGTGCCAGCAACTACCCGTTGGACAGGAAGCTGTGCCCAAGTGTGCAGGTACCTCAGGTRCAGAGGGAGAGGGATCCCCACAACCAAGGCCATGGTCACGTGGCTCTCAATCTCCAGCTCTCAGACACTGATGACAACGAAACACTAGATGAGTTACGCATAGAGAGCAGTGATGAGAAAAGCCCTTCRGACCTGTCATTGACTGCTGACACCGACAAGTCCACTGAGAACCTGGACATCCTCATAGGATTCGGAAAGTCTGAACTTGAGTCTCCTAAAGAGGAAAAAACAATGCCCACCTACCTAGAGACAAGGCCAAAGACATTTGGCTTTATTAAGCAGCAAAGGGTGGTAAAAAGGACTTCTTCAGAAGAATGTGTCACTGTGATATTTGATGCAGAAGACGGTGAACCCGTTGAATTCAGCTCTCACCAGACTGGAGTTGTCACTGTTACCAGAAAGGAAATCTCCATCAACACGGCCTCTGCTGGGCCCAAGGCTGAACACACGGAACTTTCACCTCAGGGAATTGCTCATTTACAGCCGGGAGCTGCTGCGGCGAGAGATTCTGCCTTCTTAAGAAGATCTGAAGAGGGAAGTGAGAAAAACATTCCAAAGGATGACGTGGATCATGTTCCTCTGGTGACCATAGACTCCTTCAGCCCCCAGTCAGTAACGCAAAATGCCCCGCTACAAAAACCRACCAAGCCAGCACACAGTATGTCATGCCAGAGTAATTCTAGGTCTGGGGCATCTGTAGGTATCTATCAAAAGCAAAGTCTGACAAAAATACCTGCCAGAGGCAAGTCTTCACCTCAGAAATCAAAARTAATAGAGCCTGAAGCTTCCACACTAGGTTCCCCCTCTGGCCTAGTGAGTCTTGAGAAATCATCAGCCTTACTCCCTGGGAAACTCTCACGGTGCATGAAGACTGAGAGCCCAGGGCCCTTCTGTTCGGATGCACAAACAGAATCGCACATTCCAAAACACCCTCTCCAACTTCCCCATGGCCCCAAAATGTCCAGCAGGAAGGACTCGGTCCAGTGCTGTAAGAGTCAGACTCCAGGATTGCGGTCAAGGCCCCTTGCAGAGCCTCATGAGAATGGAGACCCTCCTACAAGGGACCAACACTGTGACTCAGAGCCAGACCTGGGAATGAAGTCTCCTTCCCCGCCCCCTCCCCCAGGCAGGTCAGTTTCCCTCCTGGTCAGGTCCAGTTATGACTATCTGCCGCCACCTTCGTCTGCCAAATCTGAAACCAGAGTCCCCAGTGACACGGCAAGGACAGTATTCAAGGCCCCTCTGCTGAAAGGAACCTTTGCTCCTGTYATTTCTTCGAATCAGGCCACCACAGAAGTGCAGAGGAAGAAACCTTCCGTGGCTTTCAAAAAGCCTGTCTTCACCCATGCTCCACCCTCCACAGAAGCCACGATTCCCACCAGATGCCCTGCTCATATCCCCACTAGCTCTTTTGCCATGATGTCTCCTGGGCCTCCAAAGTTCTCTCCAAAGAGAGGTGTCCCCAAAACCTCTCCTCACCAAGCACTTGGGACCCTGCACACAGACACAGGGTTAAGGACACCCAAGAATTGTCCTTCCATCCATGAGCCAGTGGAGATAGCCTCCAAAAGTGTATCTCCAGGAAGAAAAGGACAAGTGAATGACAGTGACCTTGCACCCCCCAAGCCTTCCTTCTTAGGGGCCAATGAGTCACCATCATCTCAGGTTAACAGTTCCTCTTCCTCCTTCAAAAGCCATAGTGCCCCATATGGTTGTCATAATGCTCATGAGAAAGGACTGAAAACTCGTCTCCCCGTGGGACTCAGAGTTCTCATGAAGTCTCCCCAGTTGCTCAGGAAAAGTTCCACGGTGCCAGGAAAACATGAAAAAGACAGTTTAAACGAAGCCTCTAAAAGTTCTGTGGCTGTGGGTGAGTCTAACCCCCAGGACTCCAGGCATCCAGCAAGGCTTGAGACCRCAGGGAATAGAGGAACCACCTCTACACTGGGTTCGCAAGGGCCAGACCGTTTAGCAGAAGGACTTCCCCTGGAAACAGCACTGCCAGAATCATTAGAAAATAGCATCCTTAGGGCTGATGGAAAAGATGGAGTGGAAAACAGATCCGTGAAAAGATCGCTTTCTTCCAGCAAACCACACCTAAAACCAGCTCTAGGCATGAATGGTGCCAAAGCCCGAAGCCAGAGCTTCAGTGCCCACTCAGGAGACAAACCCTCTACTCCCCCCATGGAAGGTTCAGGCAAAATCCGAACTCAGATTATYACCAACACTGCTGAGAGAGGCAATTCTCTTACCAGGCAGAATGCCTCTGCCGAAAGCTCTCCTCCCAAGACCTCTTCTGCTCCCACATCTGAGAGTCCCCCCAGTGCTGGAAAGCCCCTGGGACACTCCTTCTCCCGGCAATGCTCCCAAGGGAGCACAGGCAGTTCCGGTAGTCAATATGGGAGCCCAAGCAAGTTGCCCCTGAGGATCCCCCCAAAACCTGAAGGGATCCCCACCCCACCTGGAATGGAACACCAGCGGGCCTATGCCCAGGTAGAATGCGCCGGCCTGACTGTATCTGGGGAACCAGGCAGTGACCACTGCAGGTGCCTACCCACCCCAGCAGATTTCCCTCAAGCCTTGATGGCCCCAGGGAGGACACAGCCTCCAAACAATTTGGAAACAAGCAGGGCATCCAAGCTAGAAACTTCTGGAAGGCATCCAGATGCCTCTAAAACTGAGACTGGTGCTGTGAGCCCAGAAGCCCCCCTCTCACCCACAATTGAAGAAAAGGTCATGTTGTGCATTCAGGAAAACGTGGAAAGGGGCCAAGTGCAGACAAAGTCCACCTCTGTGGAAGCAAAGCCAAAGCCAGGGCCTTCTTTCGCCAGCTGGTTTGGTTTTCGGAAGAGCAGACTTCCAGCTCTCAGTAGCCGGAAAATGGATGTGTCCAAAACCAAAGTGGAAAAGAAAGATGCAAAAGTCTTGGGGTTTGGAAACAAACAACTGAAATCGGAAAGAAAAAAAGAAAAGAAAAAGTCTGAACTGCAGTATGAAATCGAAAATGAGCTCAACAGGGGCAACACGTCGGAAGACGGTCCCGAGGCTGGTTTGCAGRGCAAAAATAACCTGAAAACATCACCAGACATTTACAACCGAATGAAGTTGGAACCAAGAAACAGACCCAACCCTGTTACGTGTTCAGCAAAAGATAACTTTATGACRGAACTCTTAAACAGGTAACTCAAGGGGACAGTGAACAACAATGTAGAGGACAGGCCTCCCCCCTCTTAGGGAGAGGTCTTTCCTTCCCACACATCAGATGCCAGTCAAACACGGTTTTCACAAAAGCAGAAACACATAGAAGCAGTCTTACTATACATTAGCCGGAATTTAAACAATGAAATAAAAGTGAGCAATAAAATGATAATTTAGTCCACGATACTTTGTTAACCAAGCCAATGGTCTTTGAAATTAAAGAATGGTAAGTTTTATCAAGGTTGATAGAAATTCAACCTATACTAGGAACCACGAATGTACCCACATGGCATGAAATGGAAGAAAATTACACATAAGTTTTATAGCATGCAGATTTCATTGATTGTACTGAGCAAATGTATACTTAGAAACTTTCCAGACATAATTACTTTTCCTGCCTACCTTAAGCCAGAATGTATTTATCAGTCACTTTTTGGTGGTTTTTATTTTGCCCCTCCGCACAGCATCATAAAAATTAAAAAAGTAAATTATTATAGCATCTACATTGACACACTCCTGGCATATTAGTCACTCAAGGCTGGTGAGTAACATTTACCATTCAAAGGCCTAAAGACAAAGAGCTGCATGGAGTTAGTTTAGACATTAAAGGATTGGGGGAAGGACAGTGATTGAAGAGGAGCAATGTAATTTATCAGAGGAATCACTTTCTACCTGCAGAGTTGATAAGAAAGGAGCTCAACAGACAGAGAGTGGATCAAAGAATGTTTCCTGCAGGAACGTGTTAAAGGGCAGTTCCCAGGGCTCCTGTCTCATGGGCAGCTCAATCAGCACTCAAGGAAGCCACAAGAAAAATGTCAAAACCAAAGMGGATGTGGTAACACCCAGAGACTCCCTGGTAAGTACACCACCATGCTGACCATAAGGTGCTTCCTTCAGAGACGGACTGATTGGATTCTTTCTACCCCTTGTAATAATGCATGGGTTAGAGACTGCAAGGGACAGAGAAAGTGAARAAGATTTTTAAAAAACAGAAAAAATTCTGGTGATCAATATTGTAGAGAGATAGCAGCTGGACCACAAGTAGGAACAGCTCCCTCCAGGAATGCTGTTTTTCTCACTCCTACTTTCAGAACAGTGGTATGATGGAAGCTCCGTGTGGCCAAATTGTGCCACCAGCATCACTTTCAAATTATACCTTGTGCCGGAAATTAGTTCTGATGACTTCCAACACCATCCACAAAAAAGGAATGAGCATGGTTTTAGAAATAAGTGTATTGAACAATTTAAGAGAGTGTTGGCTACTTGAATGGTTTGATTTAAACAGTGTTCATATTTTGTGAAAATTGTCTGTACCCAGGTCATTCTACTTGGACAGAAAGCATTAAGACTAAGAATTACATTTTTGGAACTTGGAGCCTTATCATTTAGTTTTTCAGTGATGAGGTCCAAGACTTGAGGAGTACTCTTCCTTTAAAATATAAATAAAAGGACACTTTTATATTTCCCTAAGACATCATATTTTTATTTTAAAGTCACCTTAAATTGAATTTATTCTCTTTACATTCTTTATATGCTTGTATAATTGACTTGATGTGTTCATTGTTCCATTTAATAAGTTTTAAAGCACTTACACCAAAAAAAAATCTTTACAGAATTACCATATCTATATTTTTTCATACTCTAATAAAAAGATTATAAAATATCATACCTGCTACCATTTTCTGAGGAAAAACTTGAAATGTGAAGTGATTATATACTTTTTCTGGTGTAGTTCTATAGTAGAAATATTCTAAAAGTAATCATGGCTGGCATTATTAGTTATTCATTCTTACTTATAATTATTTATTAATGTTTAGCATTCCTTTGAGTTTCACAGACATAGTGAGATTTGAGACAAGTGCACATTTAAATTTTTTGCAGTCAGATGCATTTTGAATTCAAAGGGCTGTAGGGTCTTTCAAATTGTCTGAAATCATATGTGGACTCTATGTTTTTTGCAAAAGTTGTTTCTTTTTCTCTCCATTTCCACTCTTGGCGGCTGCCTGTGGTATCATTCCTTCTTTGAAAACATAAAGATGTCCCCTGCATTATAAAGCCACAAATTATAAGCATATCTAAGGCTGCCCTTGTACTGTCACTGAAAGGAACGAGAGAATGAACGTGTGGAAACGTGCAATATGCCAGAAATTCAATCCAGCTGATGSAAAACTCTGATAGCCCAGCCAGAGCCCCTTATCAGAGGCACTCCATTTAACTATGCCCCATTTAATATGGCTCTGACAGCTTAGGGTATATCTTCACTGTACAGAAGTACAAAAAAAAAAAAAAAACCCTGTGTTTGGCTTTTACAATCCCATTTTTACTTTCTTATTACTTACTAATGCTACAGTAATTTGCCAAGCTTTCCCTCTCTGTTCTGCAATCTTTTACAGAGTAGTAGAAAAGGTCCTTTGCTCTTTCCAGAATATCTACAAGAAGCACTCTTATTATTTTCTGTGAAGTACAAAGATTCCCTAACCATCCTGAATATATACTCAATAGGGATATGCTAATTTTTCTAGTTAGCTGCAAGAGGAAATTAGTCATGCTGAGAAGCTTTTTCATACAGAAGAACATTATCAACCTGGAAAGATGACCAACTAGTCCATTTTTTTAAAAAAATGTAAAATGCAGTGTTTTTTTTGTTTGTTTGTTTCAGCTCCATAATCATCAGTGTGGATTGGGCTAAAATTACTAATTTCAGAAAAAACATTGCTAGTGTCTCTTTTGGGACTAGTACAAGAGTCGCTGTGAAAACCCATTTATTATATATTATCAGTGTATATAGAAAAAAGATTAGATGCAAAACTCTGATACCTTAGTACATTGATGTGCCTACCCATGAACCTCAGAGTTCAAAGATTTTTCCCCCACTAGGGCTCAAGGTAAATTTGCTCTTTTGCTTATTTTACAGTGTGTTATAATACTTTTTCTTACAGTGGTTCTTTTGAATATATAATAACTATAAATATGCATTACATATTATACTTTTTTTCCTGAGTGAAACCATTCCAAAACCTTTGACACAATGTATCACCATTCCTTGCCCTTTCTTCCCCTTTTAAAACTAAGATATTTAGTCATGAGAGTTCTAAGACATTTTGATTATTATAATGTAGTTATAAAAGATTATTCCCATATACATGTGTGTATACATATATGCAAAATCCCTCTTTGGTAGCAAACCAGTCAGTTCAGTAGTAACTGCATATCCCTCTTTAATATCATTAAAACACATTCTAAAACATGTGCAAAAGTCCCAGTAATGCTTTGCTGAATTAAATCTTCTACTCTTTTCAGAACCTTAATTAGAGGCTTACATCCCCATTTCTGCCATCATTTATAGACCACTTTGCTCTAATTTTTGCGTAATTTAGAGCAGGGGCCATGTTACTTTGAACTTAAAATGATTTTATATCATTTAAATGAAAGAAGCAGGAAAGGCATCCCCTAGAAAGACTGCCTCGGCATTAAGTCAGTGAGTCAGATTGAGATGCACTCTGCTTGCTGAGAGTTCTAAGTTCCTTTTTCCTGTGCATTGAGATAATTTTCTGAAATGAGAAGTCTCAAAGGAAGACAGCTCCAGGCTCCTATTTAACACCACTGGACAAAAATAAAAATTGTTAACAAAGTTAATGAGATCATACACCTTCATCATGCACAGGAGGGAAATGGCCATTTTACCAAGTATTTTAATTTAAATTATGGGTATTTTCTTCACTGAAGTATCACATAGTCTGAAAAAAATCACATCTGCTAATAAAAAATCATCTCATACTATCCCATTAAAATGAGACTCTGGTGATGAAGCAGCAGCAAATAGTACAATAATTACACAAATTGTTATCATCTTAAGTTTTGCAAAAATGTCCTAATTTCAATATCCATAGTTGAATGATTCTGTTTTAAATGCTGTTTGGATGCTAATAAGAAGCATGCCTATGTTGTCCTCCTCTTACAAAGTTTTCTAAATGACTAACTTTTCCAAAGGTCATGCCTTTTAGTTTTTCCCTCCCAGGATTGCTCCCTGTCTGTCATAGATTCATTATGTGCTTTTCCTATTAAATAAGCTTTAAAGTAACCAAAAGAAAAAAAAAGTTTTCCTGGGAAGTCATTAGCATTAGGGTGACCCAGAGAAGAAATATGTGAACATATATGGATACTTCTTCCAAATGAAGAGTGTCCCCAATACAGGGTTCAATGATGAAATCATCTATATGTGTGAATCAGTGGTGAATATTGTCTTCCACTTTCCTCCGTGCCTTCTGTGTGCTCATTTCTTCCTGTCCTTCCTAGTGGTAGGAGTTGGAAATATATGATGGATGCACTGAAATGTGACAGGTCACTTATTACTAGCTCATGTTCGGAGCCATTCTTGTCTATAATGACAGAGCCCTAAAAACTGGACAAGAATTAGAGATGCATCTTTAGAAGGTGYCCAGAGGTCTGACAGTGCACCCCAACAGCCCCTAGTTGTTAGTTCTGAGCCATCTGCTACTTCTCTTCAAATGGAGAGTACTGGAATTATTTGTCCTGAGATAGCAGTGACTGAGAAATTCTAAATTTCTACCTACCAGTCTTTTCCCAGCCAAACACTTGCCAGCTTCTTGGTTTAGTGGCCACTCTCATTCTTCCTAGGGCTCTTCCAGGAGAGGTTGTTCTGCTACTGCCTGTCTTTGGCAAAATTCTTAATTTGGACCTGGCAGCCCCTTATCCCKGTAGTTTCCCATAACCTAGCAGCTACATGATCAGGAATGAAAATTAAATTTGTTCCTATGAGAAATAAAATTAGCAGGGGGAATCTGCTGCCAAAATAAATTATGCCCCTCATTTGCATAGCCAAATGGATTTAAAAATTATTCACTACTTAGCATTGAAATCTGTTTGTGTGGATAATTAGAGCTGAGGACTTTGCCATTCTAGGGCATTCCCCTATTTCCATTCCTTTTCTAGTGCTTCATCTGTCCCTTTCAAATTTAAAAATTTCCCCTATCTGTCATCCTCCCATCTTAAATCAAGTACTGGGACCTTGTCTATAAGGCCTGTTTCTTGGATGAATCGTAGAAGTCACACTTAGCATTTGCTCTTAAGTGCATAAAGTCCTAGAAAGATCTGACAAAGAAGCAAAAGGTAGGACTCCCATGATAGCTTATGATTTCATTCTTAAATGATAACTTGGGCAAAGGTGGTAGTGAAGTTCCACAGAAGGGTTAGGGAACAGTAAGGCAGGGAGGCAGAGCAGTTTTATACACACACACACACACACACACACACACACACACAGAGAGAGAGAGAGAGAGAATCTTCGCTACTCTTAAAATAGATCTTTATGATTAATGAATACTTTGAATATTGCCTCCTTATTTAACTACCCTACCTTAAGAAAGAAATCACAATTTAGAGGACTCTTTTAGTCAGCTCTTTTGCTTCTGTGACTAAAGGATCCAACCAAAACAATTGTAGAGGAGGAAATTTTTATATAGGGGCTCACAGTTTCAGAATTCTCAGTCCATATTCAACCAGTTCCATCCTGACAGAAGAGTATGGCAGAAGGAAGCAGCACACATGATGATCAGAAAGCAGACAGAGAGACTCTACTTTCCAAATATAAAATATACACCTCATACCCACACCCCCAATGAACCACTTCCTCCAGCCATACCCTACCTACCTCCAGGTACTACTCAGTCAATCCCATTAGGGATTAATTCACTGATAATTTAAGGCTACCACCCAATGATTTATCCTCCGAACCTTCTTTCATAGTCTCACATGTGAACTTTTGGAGAACACCTCATATCCACACCAYAACAGGGACAGTCTGAGAAGGATGTTCATACCAATATAGGGAACTTTGAAAAAATGAATTTATCACAATGAATAARGTTCAGAAGTGCCATTCTAAAAGTAAAAACCTACGTGACTTTGAACAGATCACTAACCCTCTCTAAGCCTGTTATCCTTTATAAGGTGTGAAACTTTTTCTAATTTCTTGATTCTTTAGTTTGAATTTCACAGGCTGACAGAAATTGTGGTTCACTCACATTCCAACAGTTTAGGAGGGTACCCTTGTGAGTTTAAAATGGGCAAATTTAGAATAACCCCAAAGAAATACTGTTTTACATTAACAGGTGGGGAGTGTATATGGAACCGATGGCTATAAGAGCTGAAATGAACTAAAGATACAGGTTTCCTTGATATGTCTATCCATAAATGAGGGTAGAAGGTGCTCAATGGATTTTTAATGGAAAATTAAGTTGGTTGAAGGGTCCCTTTCTTTCTGGGTTTTGAGTACCCTTGCCACAAATAGATTGCTGAGCAAAGTGAAACTTGGAAGGCAAATCAGCAACTTCACTCCTGCTCAGAGGGCTTTTTCCTCTCTGTCTTCCTTAAATGCACATTCTTAGAAGCAGCTGCTTGAAGCCTTTGCTCCCTTCATTCTTTCTTCCCTAACATTCTTCCTGTGGAGGTGCCCACAGAGCAAGTGAGGAAGCGCCGTCTCCAGATGCTGAACCTGCCAGGCTGGTGGTAATGTCTACCTCACTTCCCGCCTTTGTCACCTTCTGGCTATCAGCGTGGTACAGATTACGCACCAATTGCATTCTTCTATTGAAACTGTAGTCATAAAATGTAAATAATTGGTCTTTTCCCATTAAATGTGAAAAATAGGAGATAAAAAGTAGAAAGCTAAATCTAGTTCAAGGTCAGTATGCAACCATATGGCTTTCTATATTGCAAGTGTAAAATAATGGTTTCCTCGTATTCCACTTGAGCCCCTGAGCAAATCCACTGACAGCCTCTAATGTATGTGCCCGAGCAGGACCCCCATTGCATTGCACAGTTCATATCATCATCATCATTATTATTGGCTGCTCAGGTGACTAGCTAGAATGTATTTTAAAAGAGCTATGGAGGATCACTGCAGCAAAGACCTTAGCTGTCTTCATATTGAGGTCAAGTCTATAGAAGCAGAGTCAAATGGATATTGGAGAATAGCAAAATTTCCCCACCTGAACATAAATCTGGAGCTTGCCTTGCTGTGTTTGAATCTCAGCTCTACCACTTGGACCATCACTCACCCTCTCTGTAATAGTAGAACCTGCCCCTGGTGTTACCGGGATGATGATGAGATATGTGTAAAGACTCTATGCAGCCCCCCACCACCACCACTGTATGCAGGTGTCTCCATATTGGCTGGCATCCACAATACCCCGGTCTCTTGAGATGGGAATTGGAAGACTCGGGTTTTCATGCAAGTGTCGCCACACACTACATGTGTGCCAACTTTAAGGAAATTTCCTGGACCTCAGACTTCTCTCTCTGTAAAACACTGAGACTCCATGAGTTTCTCTCCAGGATTCTATTTGAGGTTACGTGATCCAGGGTCTAGGTGTTCCGGCTGAGATATAAGGGGAATGTTTTAATGTAAGAAGTCTATAAAAGTCTTGCTGCTTCAGTTCACAGCACATATCACTGTCACCTCATTTCATTATGGAAAGAATGAAAAATAAAATAATTTTATTAGAAAGTTACGTTCCGGGAAAGTGTCAGGAGATCTAAGTATATTTCTTTATTTTTATTAATATAACCTATGATGTAAGTCTCCCACTCTGGAGGAATTATACCTCCTTATATTTTAACTTTCCCTAACAGCCCTGAATTACTGATTTTTTATATTAAAAACCAAAACTCTTATCTCTAAAATCCTGTGCAGAATCGGGTAACCTGTATATCCTTCCTTCCAAAGTTAGGGTTTGATTTCTGAAAAAAAATGGTCTCATAATTAAAAGTCCTAGAAAAGCCAGATGATAAAGTGAGGGAAAGTGGAATGAAAGAAAAAAAATTGATGTATATTTTTTGAATATATCATTGTTCTGAGGATTGCAAAGATCTATTTAATACAATGAATAAAAACTTTCAGTATTTTCTTGTTTCTGCAGATAAAAGAGGCAAACGAAAACTTACAAGAGGATGAAGAAGACACAATTGCAGATTCCACATTTCAGAGCCATAACCTAGGTAAAAAATCATGTCTTGCTTCATCTTTAACTGTGAGATATTTTCCATCTGGGACTTTCTTTCCGACGTGGGACATTCCTAGTGACTGTGTCTCATGCCTGCCTCCATCAGGACTGAGCATGGTCACCTTTATCTCTTAGACATTAGACATTATTGCAAAACAAGTGCGTCAAAGCACACCTATGGAGAAAACAGGTCCTCCTTGCAAAACAAGGCAATTCAAACCGATGAGAAGGGAGTATTTCTCAATATAAAACGAAAGTGACACTGGCTGTAAATAATTTCTTTCTCGGGGGAAACAACTCTGAATGAACCCAGTGTCTATAACTTGCTCAAGAAGCAACTGAATGCAAGTATCTATTATTTAGAAATGTAAGGTGGTGACTTTCTTAAATTGAAAAATTTTAAAAATTTTATGTTTTACATATAGAACCAAATAGAACTGCAAAATATTCAACTCATTTTCTTCATCATTTCTAGTTAGAACCCTGAATACGGGCAGACCTGTCTCTCTGTTAAGTTCAACTTGTCAGCTATTTCATAAAATTGTGCATAACACCAGATAGAAAGGAACTAGGGTTCCCAGCACAAAGGGACTGAGCTATTTTCAGCTGGGAGGGAACCATGATGGAAGAGTTATTGGTGACTGTGATCCTTGTCAGGAGATTGAAGAAGTGCTAATTTAACAGCTCCAGGCCACCGTGGATCCTTGTAGAATTAGTTGTTCCTTAGGCTCGAAAATGGCTGTGAATGTGAGCATGCTAAGGGGTGATGGGATTATTAGTCCAAATCACATTTGGGTATAGCAGAGAGCATTGAATTCCATGTTCCAGGACAAGACAGCCATACAGATCGCTGGTTCCCGGTGTAATCATGTGTCTTTTGCTCTTATGTTTTCACTGCAGTGTCTGTCAGCTCTTGGTATCCCACAGGTCTTGGTGGGGACACTTTGGGCTGATTTGCCAGTATACCCAGCCATCTTCTGCAAACTATAATTTACAATTTATCTCAGAGAGTTGTTGTACCCCCTCCGCTTAATGAGTCTGGCACACCATTATTTTTCTTTTCAGTTGTGATTGGGAATACAAAAGTCTTAACAAACAACTGAATGAATGTAGTGTGAATAAGATTCTATTTCCAAAAAGACATCATTTATTATAGTTGTCAATGTGAAATGCTTAAATTGGTATCAGTTCTGTATAGTTAGCTAATATGCAAGTTAAATGTTGTTTAGTATTGTTTAACAGCCTTCAAACACGATGCTATGTAAAGCCCCGCTGAATCATCATTTTTCCATAATGAGATGTTCTCGGCTTATAAAATAGCATATATAAATTAGAGTCTGAATTTTTGTTCAAGATAACAATAGTAATCTAAATGTTTTTAGTAGACTAGTAATCCTTTAGATCTGCACTGTTAGACATGACAGCCATTAGCCACATGTGACTATTTCAGCTTAAATTAATTAAAGCAAGATAAAATTAAAAATTCACTAAAAAATGAAAGAATTAAATAAAAAGTAAATATAAAGATTCAGTTTCTCAATCACACTAGCCACACTCTCAAGTGTTCAGTGGCCACATATTTTGTATGTTCTGTACGGACATTTCCTTCATCATGGAAGTAAACTTGGACCATCTCTGTGACAGTGAATTGACTTTGTCTTCAGATCATTGTACACTTATCTCTTCAAAATCATAGAAAGTCTATAAGATGCAATGACCACAAGTAAACCAACAAACAAACCTGGCAAAGCATTACTTATAAATAATAAGATCGTTTAAACATGCTTACATAATTACAAGTCTCAAGAAGAGAGATGTGTAGCAGCTCAGCAATGTTATCAAAAGCCTGATCCATTGTACCTGTCTCCTCAACCATCATTCCATGTTGGCTTTTTTTTGCATGCTTGTTGCTTCTGGTTGCAAATTAATTCCCTCCACTCCTGGCATCCCATTCACATTTGAGACACAAAACATAAGGAAGAGCAAACTCTCCCCAGAATCCCTCCCGCCAATGGATTCTATCTTACATATCATTAGTGAGAACTAGATCATCCAGTTACTCCTAGCTCCAAAAGATGATGGGAAAGTAAGTATGGCACTCCAGCATTTTTTTTCAAGTAGCAAGGAGTGGAGGATTGAGACTACCTCTGGGGCTAGATCACCAATAGGATCACCACACACCTCTTACAAAGCTCCTCCATTTTAAGACTGAATAAGACTCACTGAAGTCAAGTGGTTGTCTCCATTCCCCAAGAAAGGCTGAAAATATATATTTTGCACCCTGACAAAAGTGATTTTCCTTTTGTCCAACCAGTGTTTATATATATGCTTATAATATTCTATAACCATTGAAAATATAGCATTTTCAATGATAGCACCTGAGCAAATTGAAGTATGCTCTTCTTCCAGTTAAATATCAACCAATATCTTTGACAGAAGAATAGTGAAGAGGGCTGGGGTTGTGGCTGAGTGGTAGAGCACTTRCCTAGCATGTGTGAGGCACTGGGTTCAATTSTCTCAGTGCCACATATAAATAAATCAATAAAATAAAGGTCCTTAAACATCTAAAAAAAAATTTCTAAAAAGAGAATAGTGAATAAAGTTGTGAATCTAAATGTTTGCATTTCTATGGTTGGGGTAATAATATTAGTTTAATCAAAACATTATGGGTGTATAAGACAAGATATTAAGTAAGCATATTCTATGTTAAAATTTAAGGGTTTGTGAAACGAGTAAAATAGTGCCACTAGATTTTTTTCCTTTAAAATTGTCCTACTAAATGTCAGACTTCCATGTTAATAAACAACTAACAAATGATAGCCTAGCCTAATGGAAGTATTAACAGAAATGATCACAACCACCATACTTCTAAATTTTGTTTACTGCTACTTAACTATAGTAGTTTCACTGTGTATATTCTACTATTTATTTACTAAGATGAAATGACAAATAGTAACTTAAATACCATTGTCTCATATTTAAAACTTCAGCTGGTGTTAAACATCAAAAATAATTCCATAAGTGGAGACAAGGGATTTGGAAATTCTTATAAACAGGATAAAATATAATTTAAGGAATTTAAGGAAGAAGCCAAGCAGAATCCAATGGTATCTACAAAAACAAGTATACACGGGAGACTCATGAAGTGAAGTATACATGTTATTTCCCCAAACTGAAAAGAGTTAAAAGAACAATCTACCCAGTTGTCCAGTGAGTAAATTTTCAGTGCTCCATGGTCGAATGAGACCTCTGTATTCCTCCTCATCAATGGAGTATACTCCTAATCTCTTCTGCAGGAGCCAATGGGAGGGTTCCTGCCACCACATTGTAGCATGACAAAGGACATGGTCCAGCTCAAATGATCTGGCTTTCCTTGGATAGCTCTGTGAACTGCCTTGGAGTTCTCCCTTCTACCATAGAAACTGATGATACTATCTCCCAGGGATGCTCCCCCTCCAATCTGTTGTCCACCTTCCATTCCTCCCCAGCTGGCCTCTCTTGCTGGCAGCTAATGTATCATGCAGGAGGGTAATAGGTGCTTAACGAGTACCTTTGGGTGACTTAACAGCATAAGCCAATTCATTTCCATTTTTGCAGAGTCTTTCCTTGCCTCATTCCTTGTTTTTTCCTAGACTTTAGCTAGCTAATATGGTAAACTAACTCAAGTTACTATAGTAACAAATTAAGCCAGTATCTTTTCGGGTCATGCATTTGCATTGTAGCAAGGAATCAGGTAAAGTTTTACCTCTAGTTAAGTGGAATTCTTGGAGCTATAAGTTTCAGGCACTCAGAGTGTTCATTTGAGCACATTATGGGGTGAGGAAGAAAGGGCAGGATCAAGGGATCAAGACTACCTCAGATAATGAACAGCACAAGCAGCAGTACCAGGAGAAAGAGATCTTTTTTTTTTTTTTTTTTTTTTTTTTTTTTTTTTTTTAATAATCCTAGTTCTGCCTTAAGGCTGGAAATGAAATGAGACAAAGCTATGTTGAGTCAAATAGAGGAGTTATGAGATTGCATGAACAAAGACTGTTTTACCTAACACATAGACCTTGTTCCTGTCAACTTTTATGATCCATCCATAAAGCATCTAATCTTCAGTAGTATTGTGCCTGGTCTGCACTTAGGTGGAGGCAGAAGGAATAAAAGAGTCACAGGGTGTAGAGTTGTTATTGTTGAAGAATTGCTGTGCCAGATTCAAATGAAAGTCTGCACATGCAGCAACTTCTTCCCCCAGAAGAACAGAACAGTCCTGGTGCCAGAGCAGGTATAGCTGTAGCTGTTTCTTTGGTCAGGGGAGAAGGACAGTCTCCCAGACTCTTGAATCAAGTGCTTCACTTACTAGAGAAAGAAGCCCGACCTTGGCACTCACCTCATTTGAACCCACTTTATTGTTTCAGAGCCCTGATAGAAAAACAAATGTGTTTTTAAACACATTTTTTTAAAAAGCCTAAGACTGAATTATCCTGTTAGGACCAATTGTATTAGATTTAGGCAGGAGCTCAGAGCTCCAGTGGTTTAAGTAAGAATAAAAATGCCTTGCTGTTAGGCATGAAACTCCAGAGGGAGGTGGCCTAGGCTAATAAAAGGGTGCCAGACTCCTCCAGTCTTGTCCTAAGTGATAGGATTTCGTCCACAAAGGAAAGAGAAATGGCCAAAGGAAACAGCATGGAAAATACCAACAGCAAACTCCAAAGGGGGAGCTGTTTCTCAGATGGATTCCATTCCTCATGTGATTTCTATCTCAAGTGTCCCCTCAGACTCTACAATGTCCATTCTTGTGTCCACTGTCCAACTGGTAGGAAAGAAGAAGGGATGGTGAAGGACAGAGTCCATCTATTTAAGAATACTTCCCATTAGTTGTACATCCTTTCTGCTAACATCTCATTGGCTTTAAGTTGGTCCCATAGGATGGGAAGCACTGTTCCAGGCAGACAACAATATGTCCAACAAGAAATAAAGATTTCTTTAACTCTGAACAAAGGAGAAAATGGA